ATAAGGTTAAAAATTATGATATAAATCAGAATAAATGAGATCTAACATATTTTAAAATGGTATCTAAATATTTGGATTTCATTACAGAACTGCAGATAAAATTTTATTTTCCAAACTCATCACTGCTGTGCCATATTTTATTAGTTATATTGACAAGCATAAAGCCCATGAGTCTGTGTAACCTATAATCATTTAGATAACTAATGACAAAAGGCATAAAAATACTTCCTCCACTTCCATAAGGTAATGCTTTACATAAAAATAACTGAACAAAGGAGATTTTTTTTTGGCATGAACTTATACTGGTTCTCTTTTCTTTCTTTCTTTCTTTCTTNAAAAATTTCACTTATAGAAGATGAATAAGTTCTAGAGATCTGATGTACAACATTGTGCCTATAGATAACAATGCAGTATTGTGCACTTAAAATTTATCAGGAAGGTAGGTCTCATGTAAGTGTTCTTACCACAGAAAAAAGAGAAGTACAAGTAAACTTTTCAAGGTAATGGCTATGTCTATTTTCTTGATTGTGGTGATGGTTTTATGCGTGAGTCCAAACTCATCATATTACACTCATTAAATACATGCAGTTTTTGTATGTCAATACACTTCAATAAAGCTGTTAAAATAAAAATGTATTCATTATAAAAATATTTATTGAAGGATAATAAGGTTTTAATATTGGATCATTGTGATAGTTGCAGAACTCTTTTAACATACTAAAAACCACTGAATTATACATTTTAAACAGGTGGACAGTAATGATATGTACATTATATCTCAATAAAGGTCTTTAAAAACATGAGAGTGTTAAACAAACTGGTCTCCAGCATCTATAGGGCTCTCACATTCAGGGGTTCTATAATGTTAAATCTAATCTATTTTATGCATGTAACCCACTCTTTGCTGTCTGCTTTATTGACCACATACTCTGCTGGATTCCTTTCACCTTTGAACTCAAAATGAAAAGAACCATTGAAAAACTCCAATACAGTCTATATCAGTAATTATTAATAAATGCACTTACCAGGCATGTTTGAGATGTTTTTGATGTGTAAGGCACAGCACAAAGTGATAAAACTGATATAGGGAGATGTCATAGAAATGGCGAGAGTGAGGAGGGCTCCCTGAGTTCTCCCTTGGAAATTATCGCAAATTGAACAACTATAACTCATCAGAGGAACCTCTGCTCATCACACAGAACAGCTAAGAGACTTGCACAACGATTATTTGAAGGTTGGCAAACCGGGCGAGTGGGAGAAGAGGGAAGGGAGACGTGCAGTGATGCAGCCCACATCTGCGGCTATGGAGACGCGGGGCCCCAGGAAGCAGATCGGAGAGTATTACCGCAACAAGGCAACGGGTTCACTCCCTATGCCCCACAGTCCCACCAGGAGTTCAGCAAGAGCATGGTGGTGCGCAGCATCTGAGGCAGAAGCCTCAGATCAAAACTGCGGCTGGGCTCTCTCCGACAGAAAACAAAAACAACTCCATAAACATGACCCCACTCCCAGCCTCCCTCAGAAACCCTAACCCCACCATTCCAGAGTCTTAAGCTGATCCCTGAATGGAGGAGTAGTGTCAGATTACAGAGCTGCTGCCGCCCCCAGGAAATGGAAATCTAGGGAAGAGGCTGGCAAAGATTGTGGGACTGCTTACCCAGCCCCCACCTTTCCTGCGCTGCTTGGGGCAGGGCAACTTCAGCTGCCCAGTCACTCAAGACCACAGCAGTAGGTAGCACAGGCACCACTGGATTTTGAGCAGCTCAGAACTCTCACACCCCTCACAGAGTGGAAAGAATGCCCTAAGACACACATCAAACCTTCTGGCTGCAGAGCTCTCAGGGTGCCTCTGGGCAGGTGAGGGCAGAATCGGCACTGACTTTGTAAAAACTACCAACCACACCCCATAGCCCCACTCATCTAGAACTGTATTACCAGGGTCACTCTGGATGCCAGATGGCCGGCCCTGCCCCCACAAGATGCAGAGGAGTTTTTGTACAGCACAGGACAACCTGGAGATACTAAAGTTTGGTGGACTTTAGTCAAGACTAGCATTGGGGTTTTTTTGTTTGTTTTTGGTTTTTTTTTTTCCTGTATTGGTTGTTTTTGTTTTTCCATTTCATTATCATTTTTAGTTTTGGTTATTGTTTTTTAATTGGGGAATTAGGGGGATGGGAACAGTGCTGGGGAATCGGAGGAAGGGGAACAGACAAGTTGCTGTCGTTTTGTTCTTCAGTCTAGTTGTGGAGGACGTTGCTTCACTGGCCCAAGTTGGCACCATCATTGCGCTCTTCNTTCTTTTTCCCTGGCAACAACTGTTACTATTGGGCAAGGGCCTTAGTAGGGGAAGCGCACACTGACAATCACCACTGCCTCTACTAGGATGCCCTAGGCCTATGCAATATAGCATGTCTATGACATCTTCAAATCACAGCTTTGCACAAAATACTTGTATAGAACAAGAAATACATTGCAATGGAATTCTTACAAGTCGCACCTGCATTTGAACCTTGCTCATTTGCTACCTAAAGAGTCCTCTACTAATGCCAAACTTATACTATTGTTACATCTAGCCCTCTTCTCAACAAAGGTGGCCTAAAAGAGCAGTTTGTGCTAAATACTCCAATTCTCTTGAAATGTTTTTTTCTAATCTAAGAAAACCAAAATAATAAAATCATTAAACAATTGAAAATATATTTGAGATCACCTTAATACTAAGGAGAATTGATTTTCACATTCCTCCAGAGAGCAGTATTGCTGGAATGAAATTAATATTTACTGGTTTATCTTAAAGGAATACAGAAACATTAACATTTCTTTCTTTTATAACTTTCACAATTGATACAGGTTACAAAGAAAGCTTCTTTTCATTTGGAGTCCAAGCAAATTTGGATGTTCAAATATACAGAAGTTTTCATATTTGGTATTAATTTAATATAGCCACATCCAGCCCGATCACTATCTATATGAAAGTCACGATCCCTTTCTGGACCTCCATTTCATTTCTCCTTCCACCTTTGACCTTAATTGACAGCAGCCTTCAACTGGTGCTATGGCATGGCCTCACTAACTGTTCCCTCCTCTCAGTTGTTTTCACCTGCTCCCATTTGTCACGGGTGGGGGGGGATCCTTCAAAGTGTGAGGTAAGGGGAATTAAATTTTACTAGACTCAAATTATTGCTAGATTATTGTATTTTTGAGGTATAATTGACATGCAACATTATAATGGTTTCTGGCATACAACACAATGATTTAATATTTGTGTATATTGTGAAATGATCACCACAGTATGTTTATTTAACATCTGTCACATATATATTTTAGATCTATTTTAATAAATATTATTAATTAATGCCAAAAGCTAAGAACCACAAATCAAGAAGTCATTTATACCCTGAAGTCTTCCTAATGCCCTCATTATTCTCATCCTCTATCCTTCTGCCCTTATCAGCAGGCATATTAGTTCTAATTGTCTAGTTCTTAATCCTGACCTTTTCTACCTGTACCCTGGTCACCCCTCTCCTCAAAATATAAGGCTACCAAAATACTTCAGAACATAACCATATAGAATTAGCAGCTTACTTAACCTATGCATTGTTCTGGTAACCAATAATTTATCTATTAAAAGTGGGGCTGGATTCCCAGTGGTAGGTGACATCCTATTAAGCTCCCAATTTTCAGTACTAATATTCACAAATACATTATATATTTTTCCCTTCCTCCTTGAATGCCAAGAGCAGACTAATGCATGATGACCACACACAAAGAAAAAACAGCAACTACACAATTAGGCCCTGACCACACCACAGCAAAGGCAACAATTCTCACTGCATTTTCTCTCAAATGGAATTGAATAGATGAAGCTTTAGCTAAGCTTGGCCTGAGTGTTGCTGTGAGGGATCTTCTCAGTCCTCTCTTTAACTTACAGCGAGTTCACATTCTGAAAGGCTGGTCTGATTGTTCCAATAGGGCTTTCATTTGCATCTCTGATTGGCAGGAGATGCTAGACGCCATTAAGTTTAATCAGCTGAACTCATCCTTTTTAGCAAGAGTGCAAACTTTTCATCTGTGACAAGGAAAAGGGATTTAAAATCTATGTTGATGGAATATGTTGTTTAGAATTTTGTTCTGAAAAATAATCATGTTTCAAAGACACTGGATAATTTGGAGTTTAGCTTATTATTGTTGTCTTCATATTAGTCAAGGAAAAAGAAAGATGGTATCATTTGGGAAGGTAGCAAAGTGAATAACCCCAACAAGCTCTGAAATGTTAGAACATTTGGATTTGTCTGATCTTGTCCATGTTGGAATAATGATGAATCACATTACTAGATTTCCTAAAACAAAGTAACTAAAATACAATATTTATCAATTCAACAAGATTTTGTTGCTAAAAGTCTTAAAAATATTCAGGATATACAACAGAATTTTAAATGTCACATTATTGTATTCGTATGAAAAACAGCAATTAATTTCATATATAATAGCAAATTCAATTTATGCCACAATTTGTTGTTCATTGAAATATGTTTCTTCCTTTATAATCAAGTTCATGAATTATTCCATATAGCAAATGTCATATTCTCCATAAATCAATTAGACATCAAAGGCATGCTTCATATAGTTTTCCTAGAAGAAATCTCATCATAACAGAAGCCACATTAGCTCACAATCAATTGTAAACCAAATAAATATAAAGTAATCCAAAAGAATTTCTAAATTGCTCTACTCTGTGATTTTAAGTCAGCTCTTTAGGACAACTGTGTTTACATAAAACAACAGCCTGAAAATTCTGTCTCTCTTCCACTGAAACAATATTTTTGCCAAAACAATAGATATCCTTGCTTCTTTTTTTACCATTCAACACGACGATCTGTTCAGCACTTCAGAGTTGAAGTCTAACTTCTTTCCCCAAACACTCAAAGCGTTTCCACTGCAATTTGTTATGCCATACCCCCACCCCCAAACGCCCAAATCAAATCTTTCTCGAAGAGACTTACCCCAAGAAAGAGTGTGCTAGATGAGAGAGTGTGATCATGCCTGTAGAAAATTAGCTAATAAACATGTGAACGGGCAACTCGCACTTTAAAAGTGCATATTTTAATCCGGTTTTTTTTCCACAGGGAAAGGTTAAGCCCAGCCCAAAGTAGCAGACTTACGGCTGCCGCAGCTTCTTACAGCAAACCGCTCATTCTGAAAAATGTGAGCTTATTTACATTTATATCTTTCCCTTTGTTAAGGAATGGCCCTCTTGAATGCTGTAGCCGGCATGCCTTTAACAAACAGGACACAAGAAAAGGCCCAAAGTCCGGGCTGGAGCTGAGGGCCGGGGGAACTCTTGGGGGTCTCAATAGGAAATGCTTTTCATTGGATAAGGAGGCATTATTAGGAGCCGAGATCCCGCCCAATCCCCTGTGCTCCATCGTTCCCTTAGTCACCAATCACTGAACTGAAGTTTTTCCTTAAAGAGCATTGCCCAGGAAAAGTAGTTTTCACAGTCAAGAATTAGCAGTTTAAGTGCCTCTTGACAACATAAAAAGTGTCTTTCCTGACCAATTAATCCACAGAGAAAGCCTGTGTGCCTGTCTTTGCTGCAGGATTGCTACCCTCCTCACACACACACACACACACACACACACACACACACACACACACACAAACACACACACAAACTGCCGCAGGATTGCTAACACACACACACACACACACACACACACACACACTCACACCGCGCGCGCACGCGCGCGCGTGCAATTCTAATGAGGAGGAGGAGACAAAACCCTAAACTGGGAGGAGTGTTTCAATTGAGCAGCACATGTTTGCTCTAACTTGTTTAAAATAATTACAACAACAATATTGATAGTAATAATTAGAGGGCAGGGAAAGGCAAAAGTGAATGGTACCATAAATACATTCCTATTATACTGTGTAGAATTACACCTACTACCACCACACACACACACAAAAATTAAATACTATACTCACTTACTTAAGCCATTGAAGTACCCTCAGATGGAGATTTGAAGTGGGGAAGGGTCCCAGAGCTGTAATAACCACCTTCCGTGGACTAGGGAGTACTCTGTGGCAGAAGGAGGGTCGGCACTTCTCTTAAATAACTGCCTGGCAGGAAGTCTAATTACCATGAAATTTTCAGAGGTTTGCTAAAAACCAAAATAAATAGTACAGATGAAATCTGTTTATAATGGGGAGTTATCTTCAACTGTATACCGCCTCCTCCCTGGGCTTGTCCTTTTCCTATAGGATGACTGCCTTGGTCACCCACACTGCTTTTTTTTCTCCCTAATTTTTCCTCCGTGCCTCCCTTTCTCTGATCTGGATTTGTTGCAGAAATTTGCTCATCCATCTGTAACGTTATTGCTAGTCCTTCCCCTCTGCCAGCCCCCATCCCCAATCCTTCTCTCCTCTACCTCCACCCACGCCAACATGACCACCAACAGCAACCCTTCTTCCTTCCATAGAAAGAAATTCTTAGGCCAGGGAGAAGGTGCTTTCTTTCTCTAGACAGAGATATGCCCCTGGAGAATTAGGGGATCCTCTGCCTGCTTAAAAACTTAAGCCTGCATAATTAAGCTGTCTCCCAAGTAAGACATTCTTCACATTTGTTTATTCTCCCTCTTTTTTCAGCTCTGTTGTGACTATTCTCACTAACAATCAAGACCAGTAAATAAGTGACTGTGAAGCTAATACTAGCTTTATTATTTGTAACTGATTCTGAAAAGTACTTTCTCTGTTGCTTCCCCTCTCTTATACCCCAGTCTCTGTTCTTTCTGTCCCCTCTTCATTTATCTCAGGTACCTCTATTTCTGTCAGTTGCTGACACTGGCTGTTTCTCCACAAAGTGGCCACTTTGAACACACTTATCCCATAATTCTTGCCACTTTCTGAAACTGTTCTGGAAGTCCTCTTTTGTAAGTGACTTTAGTTGTGCCGTTGTGGCTGCCTCAATGTCCTGAATCCATTCAAGACGTTTACCTTTCATGTTCATTTTGACTTTGGGGAAGAGCCAGAAGTCACACAGTACCAGATCTGGTGAATAAGGTGGATGTGGACACACCATAATGTTTTTATTGGACAGAAATTGCCATACCAGAAGTGATGTGTGACATAGAGCCTTTCTGTTGTGATCACAAAGTACAGTGAATGCTGCTGCTGAGTGCCACCCAACGGAAAGGCAGGGATCTTCAATGAGGAAAGCCATGAACTGAACCTTATTAACTGTGTGTCACAAGTTTCAACTTGTTCAGTGCAGTCAGTCGGGTGTGAGCTAAGGTTGAGAGGTGTGTTTTAAAGTGTTCCAAGGGCTGGCTGAGTGGCTCAGTTGGTTAAGAGCTCACTCAAGAGTTTGAGCTCTGAGCAACAGCAGTTCGAGTCCCGGCCTCAGCTGAGTAGTCGCTGAGCTGCCAACAGATGCGAGATGGCTCAGCTAAAAAAATAAAATAAAAATAAAGTGTTCCACAAATCGTCCTCCATTATGACAATACGCCGTGTCACACATTGCTTCTGGTATATGGCAATTTCTGTCAAATAAAAACATTACGGTGTGTCCTCATCCACCTTATTCACTGGATCTGGCACAATGCAACTTCTGGCTCTTCCCCAAAGTCAAAATAACCATGAAAGGTAAACATTTTGAATTGATTCAGGGCATCGAGGCAGCCACCGCAGAGCAACTAAAGACACTCACAAAAGAGGACTTCCAGAACTGCTTCACAAAGTGGCAAGAATGATGGGATACGTGTGTTCAAAGTGAGGGGGAGTATTTTGAGGGGAACTAATGGCAATTTGTCTTTTACAGAAATATTTTTTTAAATTTAAACATGCACCGCATTGTTTGATCACACCTTGTATATGGAGAGTTAAGTTCTGTGATGGATCAGAAGATGGAAATAAAGTCCCACGGACAGTGTAGGAGGGTTTCGCAGAGGAGTTAGGATTTCAGCTGGACCTTGATTAAAATTTAAATAAGCCAAGGAAAGAAGGGTAAATCTTTCCAGGTCACATACCCAAGTGATGAAATGTAGGCAGTGTGAAGTGAGACAAGGTGAGAAGGAAGCTGGTTTGTGAAGAGAAAAGAAGGGTAAGGAGAAGAGCTTTTGGG